TTGGGAGTCAAGAGAGACTATATTCTATAATTTCATGAAGGAAAGACAAGATAGCTTTCCATTTTTAAATATCATTTTGGAAGAATCCAGAATAACTCTCTCAAGGACAATGCATAATATTCAGTATACATAGTGTTAGAAAACACTGGCTGGTTGGTTTTTAAAATGAGATTTCCTTACTAAAGCATTAATGTCTGTTCATTGTCCTGCATGTAGTGAATTTATCCCATTCATAAAGATCATTCTTTAAAGCTGATTATCAAATTACTAAATGTGTGAACAAGATTACTCAAGGAAGATCCCGTTGTGCACTTAATTTTTCAGGCATATTAATGTATTTACCTAGCAGCACAAACATATGCATGTTTATTCCAATGTAAGTCCAAGTCCTACTCAGTTCAAGGGACTTACTTTCATGTATTTTAGTACAGCAGAGAACTACCTCATCCAACTGTTCTGTAATATGTCTAATCTGAAAATCAAACGATACATAGACATGCTTAAATCTTCCATATAATTATCAAGCACAACCAACCTTTTTTCATAAAAATATTTTTAATCCTATTGACAGCTTAGAGGTAAGTGAAGTTGCAAGTATTTCCATAGGGATGACTATATTAATACGATGCAAGCAAAGGCAAAAAAGATCTTGTGGCACCCAAACACTAAATATGACTACTAGCCTAGCAAATAAATGGGTCAATATTGGTGCCATAAGATGTTTCATTTGGGCCATCTGAGCTCTAAAGCACCAGACAACAGTTAGATGGTTGCAAAGAATTCAGAATGTCTATATCTCTTTGCTGCCATCTATTGATCACTTGGACCTTTGCAGTTCAGATCTGGTAACCTTGATCTTTACTAAGACAGAGAGAGATGATCCGTCCATCATCAACCAGAAAACTCTCAGTCCTACTTATGAATAGCATAATAAAACACTTAGAAAATGTTATAAGTAATGTTAACAAAAGTAAGCATTGTAGCTGTCATTTACCAGGCTAAAGCATCCAAATTGCCTTAAAGGCTTATTAATAAATAAACAATGAACTGTCGTTTCGGCTACTTGAGTCATTTCATAAGGCCGATAGAGTATAAGATAGATATATCTGGTTGTATGTTCTGCATATGCTGGTTGCTGCTGTTGATGAAGTCTGGGCAGTATTAACTCAGTCTTTAAGGCAAAGATCCTTTGGGGAAGAAAATTGAAACTGAAGTCTCAAGAGGACCTCCAGTGGGCAAATGTAGAAATGATCTCGGCACATAGATGATCTTGACCCATTTGCTCTAGGAGACGTCAAAAGCTTCCAGTTCAATTTGGCATTGCTCAGTTGTGCTGCTTCATGCAGAGACTTTTACAAGGAATCTAAATTTCATAGTATTTCATTTGAAACCTAGACCTTTTTTCTTACTATAGAAAATTAATTAAAGACCAACTAGATTGAGATGTCTATCTTCTTTCTCAATGTCCAACTTTCATAACTGGACACTGGGAAAACCAATGCTTTCTTTTTTGATCGAATGAGGATTTTGTCTCATTAATCAGACAGCATTAAACTTAAACCATTCCATGATTTTTTTAACATCCAGGCATTGTTTTATAGCAAGTACAAGCTAAAGGGAGATATTTAAATTCATACTATAGTAGGAATGTAAATTCTCTCAGTCCATCATAGCTGCAGAAGAGATGGCCAAGAGATGGAAAAGTGGCAAAAGAAGAATAAGGGATGACAGGAATGATAAGATAAAAAGTGACTGTAGCCTAGTAGACATATACAACTTTGATCTGTGGTGATCACATCTCAATAATTGAGGATCCCAGGACATCTGGTAGCAGCAGAGCATTTTGGGACCACTTTGAATGAGGCTCCACCTAGGCTTGGCTAGGCACACCAGAGAATTTTAGGATTTAAGTGGCTGTGATGTGGACTGGTCATAACCTTTACTATGAATGGAGTAATCTGATAGGCAGGGTAGATTAGAGGATCTGAAGCAATACAGGGAATAACTGATGTTTGGGGCAGAACTCTTTAATTATTCTGGTTGTTGTGGATGGCAAAAAATGGAGCGTGACTCGAGAGGAAGACTACACACTTTATTGAAGCAATTGTTGAGGTTCCAACTTAACAAGAAAGAGGAACAATAGAAAGGTAAGAACTTTTATAGGGATTATGAACTGTGGAGTGGGAAATTCTAGGGCTTTGATGTGCTGACAGGTTTTTGAGACCATAGGAAGGAAACCAGATTGTTCTTGCTTATGTAAAGAGAGCTATTTTATTGTTAGGAAAAACTGCACTTTTCTGAAGTGGCAGCAGCATTGGAAATGCCCATTGTGTCTTCATTAAGGAGCAATGAAACCTTGTTGAGCTTAGATGCATATCCTCAATCAGTACTGAATGGAATATTTGCAGTTTTGCCTAGTTACACTGCTGCCTTTTTGCTTATTAGGTCTCCCTTTAGGTGATTACATGGTCTGAGTCTTTGCTGCCTGTTGTCATTTCAATCCTCTTTGTTAAGGTGAGTAATGCCCCTTGCTTTTTTGCCAGAAATGATTAAGGACAAGGGGTTATTTAGAGATGGGAGTAGTTCCTTTAGACATGACAAAATTTTGTAAATGGGAAACTAGACCTGATCCTTGTCACATTTGCCGGGTTGGGGGGAATGTCCTAGCAGTAACCATTTTATTTTTGCCATAACAACCCCTCCCCACCTTTCATTTTTCAGCAGTGACCCTTAAGAATAGCCAAAGGGCTGGGCTGAGCCACTCAGGATGGCTAGGAGCATATGTAGGGCCAGACACTTTTTTTCCTTGACTGTATGCCTAGCTGTACTGTTTTACTCTATATCTTCAATCATTGCAATTAGAGCTTGGTTCGTTTCCACTGAGATGTTCACAATGGCCTTTTCTAATTTCCAGACGCCCAGAATTCCTCTTACAAAGGAAGGGAGTCCACTGCTGTGCTTGAAGCTCACCTGAATCGTTGCTGGGGAGGACATGTCTACCCAGGTCCTGGTGGACCGCTATCACAGGAACTAAGGACCCAAGTGTGAAGGAACCACAAACATTCCTTGGGAGACACTTGTGAACTTTTGTCCCATTATGCCAGAACAAACCTGGTCTTGTTAAAAATATTACTGACTGCCTACTCTTATTTGGGGTGATGGGGAAAGAAGAGAAAAAGGAAAGTTTGTGAGCCCTCCTGGAAGATGAGAAGAAGGGGGAGGTTTGAGAGATGCAGGCTGCATTGGAAGAGAAATTTCTGAAGTAGGCACTGGTGTTATAGCACGAAATAGTATAGAAGAGGGTGCTGATGAGATTGTTCTGGGTCCTGGTCTCAGTGTGATTACAGGGGTGCGGGTGTGTTGAAAAAATGAGGGAAGTTCCTAGTTTGAAGGCAACACCACTGAGGGGCCCACAAGCCAAAACCTGGAAGGGTCCTTTCTACTGGAGGTTGTAGGCAATTCTTCAGTTGGTGAACCATGATTAAAAGATAATCACTTTCTTTCAGCAGAACTGACAGATCAGTGGGTTAGGGGAAGGACTGGCGCTGCTGCCTCTGGATCTCCTTGAGCACCTTGGTTAACTGCCCTACCTATGAAATGAGAGAGTTGTTGGTTAAAGCCAGAGATGAGGTGAGAGGTTTGAAACTGGTTACCGTGAGCATAGTGTGCCCCATTAGGATTTTATGAGGCAACTAACAAGTTAGCAATAAGGGAAGTTGCTCGCATTGCTATGAGTGCCAAAGGTGGGGCATCTGGCCATGCCAATTTAGAGGAGTAGCAAATGTTGGCCAATTCATTCTTGACGATTACACTTTTGTCACTACGGTTTTGTCATTTGCCTTCACAGTTAAGAACAGGTTCCCAGACCCTTTCCTGCCCCTAAATTTTAAATCGAAATTGGCATGGGCTTACCTGGCTTATAATCGTTGTTTAGTTTTGTATTTCTGAAACTGTATTTAAGACCCATTCTTTTCCCAATCTATTTTTCTTTCTTTTATTCCGCCCCAACCACCCAACCACTAACTCTCTGCACACATGCTCCAGAAAGAGAGATACCTTTACAAAGGAATGAGGTGTAGAGTTGAGGAACTGAGAAAGAGGGAAGTATTTCCAAATTCCTAAAGATGCCTTGTCAGTGGCAAAAGGCTTCCTTAATGTGATCAAATCGATTATCCTTCCAGCTGATTGTTCAAGTCTTGTGGCCCAGCCTAAAGTCTCCTGACATCCCCCTCCCCCCTCAAAAAAAAAAGAGACATTCCAAATGACTTTCAGGGTAAATTATGAGCAGAAAATATATTTGTCAGATCGTAGACAAATATTTGCACAAAGCTAATCTGATGCAAAGGTGAAATGGTGCCCGAGTAAACTGCAGCCCTGCTATTGCTTGTTTTGGCATCCTGATTTGTGACTATTTCTGGCTAGCCGATGCATGTTTACAGTGGGCAAGGGGGAAAATACCAGAGAAGAGGAGGGAGGTGTATTAGCATCCCAAGTAAAAACGACAGAATTAAGGACGAACCTACTATAATGGTAAGATGCAATCAAATACCTAGGCAACCACTGATGACAACAATACTTTGGGGCTGACCCAACAATCCGTGGTGATGCTTTAAGCCACTAGTGTAGAAATGGCGGTAACAACAGACTGCATTACGTGCCTTGATCACGTGCGATACAGATACCGGAGGCACCTTTTATAGGAGCACTTGCGCTGGAAAGTGGTTCAAATCTGGGGATGAAGAAGAGAGTATGCTCTCTTTCCGGAATGAAATCGAAGAGACCTGCTGTTGCTACCTTTCTCTTTAATTAGACCGTCTCTTCCTCCACCCCCTCGATTAAACTGCCAAGAAGCAGCACGTTACCGCCTTTGATGTTTTCAAAGAACCTGCTTGTGACGTATCACAGAACCTCCAACTCGTATGCCGATTGGCTAAAGGGAGCGGAGGCGGATACAGGACGTTGCTGTTTGTGTTTAAACGTTCCAGCGGGAGGGTGGGGTGAGGAGCGTGAAATAGGAGTCCTTTTGCGGGTGGTGATCAGTTCCTCGGTTGGATTGAAGGACGATTCGCGATGGTGCCGTCGCGGTGCGTGAAGAGCGAATACATGAAGCGCTTTAAGGAACCGAAATGGGAGGCATGCGGCCCCTGCTACCAGGAGTTATTGCGCTACCGCCTGAGCCGGCGTCTCTTAGAACAGGCGCATCGGCCTTGGTTTTGGGATGACTGGGAACAGGACAGCAGTCTGAGCGGCAGCGGCAGTTCCCCGTCGTCCCTGGGCACTTCCAGCCCTCCAGTGGTCCCACAGCGAGAAGAGGAAGCGGCAGGTCCTGCGGGGGAAGTGGAAGTACCCAGCGGCGACCTTGGTCTCGACAGGATCAGCGCGCCGGGAGAGGGTGAGGCTTCCAGTTCGACGCCGGCGGAGGCCCCCAGCGGAGCCGGTATGTGCTTTAGTGCCTGGGGAGAGAAGGATGGGCGGGGGGCGGGTAGAGTAACAGTCCCCTGAAGTGGCTCAGTGGCGTTAACACAGTCGAGGCAGTGGGCTGAGCCTTGGGCTCCGCAGGCCAGGAGTCCCTGCCAGGCCTTCAGCCATTAACAGAACCAGGACAAAGAGCAAAGCCGTGATCCACCGCAGAGTCGACCTGTGCCCCTTGAGGAAGCCAGTATTTGCGTAGGGCAACCAGTGCGGTGGGTCGGAGCGCAGCGGCAGGTGGAAGCGAGCTGCGGACAGGCTCGGCGCGAACTGACTTGGAAAACAAGTACTGTATGTGACAGGAGAGAGATACAAAAAAACCCTGGCTCTTCGCTTCCGGCCGGAATTTGTCCGGATTTTTGCAGCCTTGATGCAACCTCTTGCCGCCGTCGCCGCGCTCCTGCAGAATACCCTGCCGCCGCCGTCGCTACTCCTGCTCCCTGAGAGCAGCCTGCGTGTGCACGGCACGGGCACCAGAGCAGCTCTGCTCCCTCGGATGTAGCCTCTAGCTCTGTGACGGGCGGGGCTGAGGGGGGCCCAGGGAGCCCTCCTTAAGGCTGTGCAATGACCTTGAGCGGGTCGCTAGGCCGTTTGCCTCGGGAAGACGGGCGGCGGCCGTCAGTTTGCCTGTGAATGGGGGCGCTGGGGGCCAGTTGGCCCGAGGGCTCGCTCTGAGTAGCCACCTTGGTGCAGCCGAGCTCTGTCTCTGAAGCAAGAGCGCGCGTGCAGCTGCTGAGCTTTTAAGTCAGCCGAATTGCGAGGAGCACCGAGGCTTTGGCTTGATTTACCGCTTTAATCTTTCCATGCCTCGCTGCTGATAGGAAACCGGAAGGCGCAAGGACCCAGCAGGCGCTCCTGCAGCCTTGACGTCTCTTCTCTCGTGCTAGTGGGCACGGATTATGGCCGAGTCTCCAAATGAACCCATCTGGCAGGGAACAGGCGAAGGCGGATCTGCCTTTCTTTCGGAGCAGCATCAAGACATTGCTTCAACACCCCACCTGCAGAAACCCGACTGGTGGGAGGAGTGGAAAGAAAAGTCTGCTTTGCCTGCAAGATTGTGTGGGAAAGCTTAATCCATGCTGTATCGCTTGGATGACCTTTATGCAAGGTGGCAACCGGCTTGTTTTGATATCTGATCACTCAGGGGTGAACTGCTAAACTTTATTTCCTTTCACCCTTCATTTTATGAGCTTTAAGCCTAATTAGCATCCATTTGTCTCTCTTCTCTGAGTGGGCGGAGAATATGTGGGTAGATCAGTTCTGGCCCTGTCTTTGTTGCTATGTATTTCAGCTTCTTCCTGAATTTGAGATCTTTCTTCAGCATAACTGCTCTATGCTTTGTAGATTAAACATTGTCAAATGGCCTTATTTGAGTGGTAAAACAAGCTCCCTTTAAAGGTAAACAAAAGGTAAGCCCCTTGCTTTTTCTAAGCCATGAAACTAACCGTACTAACACAACAGACTGACTGTTCTGATGCAAAGCTGGGGGAGTATTTATCAATTTATGTACCTCATGCTCCTGACAAAGCCAGACTATGATAGCCTGTCTGCGACTAGAGAATTTATGGCCTCTGAAACCATCTCCATGGTTTGCAAAATTGGTAGCACAATTTCCTGCTTTTGAGATGGGAAGAACATAGTGAACTGTACCCCTTAAATATGTTTAACATAACTTAAACAAATAAACATCCCTCAATCAGCCTCCCAAAACATAAGGGAACCCCCCCACCCCTAAGAAATCCCAATTTTATCTCATGCATGCCTCAGCTCTTTCCCTTAAAATAATTCAGTGTGCCCTCTGGCTGC